GCCTAACTATAAATTTAAATCATTTGGCATGGGGATTGATAGTCGCTTATTTTCATGCATCACTTGGTCTTAATGAAGCGTCAAATGGCCGGCCACTCGAATCTATCAAATAATGTTCGCTGCTTAGTATATCTTTTATTGCTTGGGATACTGCTCATTTAATTTGATCCTGAAGTTATCTTTAATTATTTGTGGCTTCAAATTAAGGAGATAAGAGCTATAACGGGTGATTTTTGTTTTTAGACTGCACTTAACATTAAAATCAATGTTTTCAGGATCATAAGTTAAGTTTGATTTTTTTCAGTCAGATATAATAAGTTTCTACATAAAATCCGAAAATTTGCTTCTCAAGATTTCCAGGTTATGTGTCAAAATAAAACGGAACGAGATCGTCAACTTCAAATAAATAATGCATTTTTGCAAGTAATATTTTTAATTCTATCCTGTCTGTTGGTAGTTCTTATAAAATTTTTTTTTCGGTGCTAATGCCTTGAAATATACCAAATCAAATATATTTTATTTTATATTTCATCACCTGAGAGATATAAAATCTTTCAATTTTTTGTTTCTAGCCTTAAAAGTATCATTTTCTTATGAAATCACTCAATCATTTATTCATTCATAATTTCGTTCGTTTTTAAGACTAAATAAGCCATTGATTTCATGTTTTACCATTTGATAATTTATTTCAGCTTCGACGAATAATTCCCAGCTATCCGACCAACAAAAAAATGAGCAAACAAGAGATACTGCACGGAGCAATCCGTTATCTTCGAATCCTGGAATACTTACTTGGGATGAGAAATAGTTTTCTACGGTAATATGAAAAACTAATTAGTTAACAAGGAAAGTAAATGTATTCAGTAATTCGTTTATTGAGTGTAAAAGTCTGGATCTATGAGAATTTTTGACTTTATCAATAAATATTGGATCATTTTGTAATTCTAAATTAAAATTCGTGTTGATTACAGTAATCTAACATCATATATCATTTAATAATGAATATTTGTGAATACAATTTCAAATTGTTTTAAATCTATTGCTAAATTTAACATATATATTTTCTTGTTTAAATGCTAAAAATGAGAATGTAAGAGTTTATCTTATTACGTTTGAATAATGTGAATTGGTTTATTTACGCATAATTCAACGTTGCTAATCCTTCCGACGTATTTGTTCACGAATCCATTCTGAATCATGATGATACTTCGGATTCGATAGCAGTAATATGGTTCTTTTATATGTGAAATAATATAGTATTGCCGCTAAAATGAAACGACAAATATTAGTCAAATTGTATTTATTCTACCGAAATAATGTTCAGTTTTTAACAAAACTCGGGTGACAAAAACATTTTCATCTCACTGAAATTAGTGAACTTTCTGCTTTTTAATTTAATTGTTTTTCAACATTTACATGCTATTCCTATATGTGCTGTTCCATATACATCTTTTCCTTTCTCTTGTTGATCAAAATTATATTTTCGAATGGTAATATCGTATTGTCCTTTTTCTTACCCATAACTATCTATCATTTGATCACATGCATTGATGCATGGTAAAACAAACAACGTTCTTTAACTCAAGCGAATTTTTACTTATCATTATAATCAAATAAGTGGATAAGTTAGCAAAGTAAGTAAAAAAAGAATAGCATATGAACTTGCCGATTCGCTGCAAAATATACAGTGTAAAAAAAATTGTTGACCACTTACTTTGGTCTGCTGCAAACCAACGTTGACGCTGCAAGACAATTAAGGCACGTAATTTTTAATTTTAAATAAATGCGCTTATCAAAAGGCAAATTCTGATTTACGTTTTCAGCATTAAACCAAGTTGAAAGTAACAAAATATCAACTAATCAACTAGCGTAAAACAAACATTGAGAATCAGTCTTTGGCAAGAAAAAATGAATGCTGAAGTAAGCAAATCTTCGTTCATTTAAATAATTCTTACGTATTATTTATTTTATATTAGATTTTCATCTTTATCCTTGAAATAGCCTCAAATTGCAATTTGTTTCCCAAACGAAAATTCGTTATGCATAAAAAAGAAAGGAGCAACCCTTACTCTGATTTCTGTTTTCAAAAACAAGCTACTTGGTTTTATATTAATGAGTCCGAGCTAAGGAAATCTTATCGCTTTTCTTCATGATCACATATAAAATTGCTATTGGAGATATTATCCTATCAACACATATAACTTGGTACAATTTTATCCACTTTTCACTGCATATAATGAAAAAAATCACCAAATTTACCATATCATAGAAATGGAGAAGCATAGATAATGTAAAGTATACTAAGGACAAAATAATTGTTGATGCAAATTTACTGAGCAATAAAACAATAAGGCCTGCTTGAAAGACAAATGTTGAGGAGAAAGCTATAAGAATAACAATAATACTGAGTAAAATTAGCGCATCTTGCAATCTGAAATATTGTATTCAATCATTTAATAATTATATTTTTATAAGTTAATAATTAAATTCCAGAACATCATTCGAAATATCAGGACCTACAGGACTTATCGCTGCAACATTTCATCCCGGTTTATCTCTCCCTTCCTCTTTCCCTCTTTCACTCGAAATTTACGCATTTTGCAATCTTTGATGTTATTCGTTTTTCATTTTTTTTAGAGTGGTTAATGCAAAATTAGAAACTGCTCTTAATTGCTTATTGCTTAAGTGAATCTTATTAAATTAACGGTCGTAAAAATTACTGATAATCTTACAAATGAAGCATCAACTGAACGGTGCTATCCGTCGTAATTAATGTATCGAGAGTGTTAAATATAAGATCCAATAAAATCATACCAATTTGTATCAACAATAAAACACCGTATTTATTAGCCATTATTACAGCTATCGTTCAACTGAAATGATACCGTTCTTAATTAGCATATGTATACATCCATAAATAAATTTCAAGGAACAGTAAAAATATTAACCAATAACTAATTGCTTTATTCAATTAAAATAATCAGAAAATGTTCCATCTGATTAAAGCTGGTTAAATTTAAAAGGTTGAAAAATAAATACTCTCTTTGAACAGAAAAGATTTAAGACATTTCTGAAATTTGTAAAATTACCATCTAAGAAAAGCAAATAAAGGACGAAAAAATCTACTTATCATCCAAAAGCATTTTTTCTATAATTTCATGAGATATATTTGTAATATTCTTAAAAATACAAAAAACAGTCAGCAAATTACTCTTAAATATTATTACCTATTGTCTAATTATTGAAGCTTTTACATTATTAATTTCAATCTAAATTAACTCAGAGAATTCAAATTTAAACTGTCACATTTCTGAATATAATTTGAAATTTACCTCGAGTTGTGTGCATCTGTTAATTTAGAAGAGAAAAACCAATAAAGCCGCCTGATGGTTAGTATCCTTGACAACCCCTTTGTTGAATATAAGTATGACTGAATATATCCTCAATAAACTGCTAAAATTGTAATTATTTATAGGAAGGGAGAGCATGTAATGTACAAATCAATGACTTCGTTCTTAATCTCTGTATATTTACTCATAATTTCTGGGACTCCTTTATTATTGCGATTGAAAATTATCGCTAAAACATTACGAAAGATAGTATATAAATATCGCAATCAGAATATTATTCATAGCACTGTTGAATTTTTACAAAATCAATTATAATCACATACCCTTTGCAATTCCGTATTAATTCATGACAGAAGATACTCATGATAAAAAATTGTCCTGCATGATAGAGCATTGAGTGATAACCACATTTTAAGTATGAACACACATACACACTTAAGCTCAGGCATAATTTTCTTTACGTTATTTATTCCGCATAATTCTACATATTATTGCATTATTGCCTATTGTTGAGTGAAGCGTTTAATAAAGTTACAAAAATTTTAGGCCTAAGATCGATAAAGATAAGATTTATGATGCATTCTAATGAAATCACGTTTAGTAACGTTTGCACATATAAACCCAAACCACAAGCCCATAAAAAGCTTACCAAATTGATGAAATCCTATATGGAATCTTTTAGTGAAAATCAATATCCGAAAAAGTGATGGTGGCTTTGTTTATGATGTTTTAATCATAAGTTCTTCACTATTGAAGTATTTACTTTACGAACCATTACTAACGATCGCAAAAATCAATTGAAATTAATTTCAATAGATAACTCATTAAATGATTAATATTTACTGTGTTTTTTGAAAAAGACAATTTGGGTGACATTGTATTAAGCAATTTATGCTGAATGTTGAATAATAATTTAAATAACATACTGAATTTAAATATTGGCCAATAGTAAGTTATTATTGCTTTTAAACTATGAATGAATTGTGATTGCATATGCATCGCTATAATTGTAACACAATCGTAACTGTAACCATTCATAACTATGATCATAGCGAGCATTGCAGTCAGAATTATGAATGATCATGATCATAATCATAGCCGCAACAATTAAAAAGGATTTGATATTATGTAAACTGAACTTGTAACTATTTCTGGACTGTGAACAACTATGAGTCGTTGCTAGTCCAGTCGGAATTGTTACAATTACCATAATCACAATCATTATTACTATCACAACCATAATTATGCTTAGTACCATAAGCTGAAGTCAAAAAGGTATCTGCGATGACTCTAAGAAAGTCATAGGGCATACACGTTCTTTAATTCGAACTAGGAAAGCAACCGTTGTAGTCGTTAGAGCGCTGCTATTTTAAGAATTTTCAAGAAAACTATGATGGCGCGAAAAAATGCGTTGGCACAGGTAAAAGTAAGTGCGGGAAGCTAAGGGTGAGAGCGGGGAAGGGTGAAGGCGGTCAAGCTAAAAAGTTTACATTAGCAATTGGGTCATAAGTCAGTGGTCAGGTACCATTTGATGAAGCTGTCAATTTCTCGTGCTGATAATTAAGTTTTACACATGTTGGTATGGTGATTTTGATTTAAATACTTTTTGATTGCAACTCTAAATTTTAAAATTTTAGAAAGATCCATAAAATGGAGGATACCTTGAAAAATTTCATCAAGCAGTTTATCTCTTATATTTGGACTATGATAATGAAAAGCATTCCTGGTGAAAAACAAGCAATGGCGCGACCAAATCCGTCTTTTCATGCGGAAATACGTCTAGATCCAACGATGTAAGCTTTTCGAATTTTTACTGCAAATAGAGATACAGTTTTGAAACGACAAAATTTTGTTTTTCGATTAGAATGGCAACTAAGATCGTGTGAAATTTCGGTCCGGGATAACAATCTGACTGTAATAAGATTCGATTTTCGATTCGACATTTATTTATTTCCTGATTAACTCTAGCTCTTATCACCTTACTGATATCGCATCACACTTGAAAATTAATTCTTAAATTTTTTTGAGTCCCATTCTGATAAATTTGATCTTGGAAATCTGCATTCAAATTTATTGAAAACGTCCATCTAAATCTTTTTATGAAAAAGAACCGACATAGGGAAATTATTTGATAGCGGTGGTATTTATTGTTCGCTCTGTTTTCGGAATTCACTTTGCCCTCATACCAGTAGGAAAAAAATATTTAACTGTCATTCAGAACGAACGATCCGATGAAACTGATAATTCTGCGTGATGTTTATGTGATCATATATAGGCAATTTCCGAAATGCATTCATTATATTGGGTACTCTCTGAGGCCTCGTGATATGAACACCGGAGTAATGAATTACGAACAAGATTTCCATTTTTATCCACGCATATACAATAGAAATTGCGCAACATGCTAGATCCCAATTTCTCATTTCCGGGTTGAAGTTGCATATTGCGATCAGACTGGCTGTGCTTCCGTGGCGCAATCGGTTAGCGCGTTCGGCTGTTAACCGAAAGGTTGGTGGTTCAAGCCCACCCGGGAGCGATGAGGCGAATTTTTCATTGTAAACGCTGTTTTTGAGATTTTAGCGCGAGAAAGGATGCTGAAAAGTTGTTGCCTGAAATTCACGAAGCTCTTTTATCCATTGAAAATGTTCGTAATGGTTGTCCAGTAGTACTACCAATTGACAAGGAATTCAGTAAAATGATTAATAGTGTATTAATTGTTAGTTCAGATGCTTCCGAAGGTTTGTTTTTTCGACGTTTTGCTGTGTTTTTTTTTTTAATTTCCAATAATTTTTAAAAAATCATTGAGAAAACTTATGCAAATTGCCTTGTTTCTCGATTCCGAAATGAAATTGTTTCGCTTAATAATTTTTTTCAGGAGAATGTTTGACAATATCCGACACTTCGCTAACACTTTCAAATCTACATCTGTACAAATTGTTAAATCATGATGCACAAACATTGGAAGCTCAGTCAGGCGAGCATGACTCGGAGCCTAATATTGCAGGATCGCTACTATGGGAATTACCTTGTTGTGAATTTGATGGATTTTGGGAAAATTTGATTTTTGATGATTCCATTAAAGATGAGGTAAGTAGAAGATGGTTAAATTCATAGATCATTCTGCAACTAAGCCTATAAATATAAATTTCTAAACCTGAAAGAAAAAGCTAAAACCACTCATTTAAATATCATTGATTTAACTGACTTAGTAAATTTGAATTTAAAGCGATGAATCAACCACTGTAACGACGTTGTAGTTTTATGTTAATTTTTTCTTCCTTCATTTTTCGGTTTTATTTTCATATGAGCATATTATTTGATTGTCTTGATCTCTTTGTTGTTATAAGTACCAGGAGCTTTTTCTGATTGGATATCATTGGTTTCTTTATTTTTCACTTAATTTCTCTATCCTTTATACTTCTAATGAAATTTATCACGTTAAGCGGCGAAGACTAGAGATCGTTTAATTATTTAAGAAATTGAATTAAAACTATAATTCATGCTTACGAAACTTTCTTACAGCTCGTTTCTTATGTTTATGCGCTGGTCAGGCTTTCGGAGAAAAATGCAAATTCTGCAGTGTTAAGAGTAAATCGGTTGATTTTATTACACGGTTTGTGGTTTTAATTTTACAAATTGTCGTACCTAAAGAAATCCCTCGAAATAAAGCTGAGATTGACATTTTAACACTAACAGTGAATTCAAAGTTAGTTTGAAGTCAGACATTTTTTTGCATGAGAATGCATATTATATTAATTTAAAACTTAACTTCCAAGCACACACAGTCGAACAAAAGGCGCCATACATTGCAGGACCACCAGGAACTGGCAAAACATCGCTCTGCAAAGCGTTGGCTCAAAAATTGGCAATACGATTTAGCCAAAAATACAGAAGGATATATTTTGTGGAAATTAACAGTCACGGCCTTTTCTCAAAATTTTTTTCTGAGGTAACATTGTTGATGGCATTAAAAACTGGAATGCCTTTTAACAAATTATTGGTTGCAGTGTACCGACGCTGTTTGAACTACCTCCCAGGACTATGGCTTGTCTGGTTACTTCCGGACTAGTCGGTTCACATGTCATTTCGTTTCTCCCAAATATTGACTCACTTTTGGAAATACACATATCATTCCAAAAAAAAATCACAAAAACAAAACCAGTGGTTGTAGTTGTTCATTAGTGTTATTATTAGCACCGCGTCATTTAAGGAAATTTTGAAACTCCATTATTTTTTAGAGTGGCAAATTAATCCATAACATGTTCAAACAAATTGAAGAACTCACAGACGATCCGAAAGCATTTGTTTTCGTACTTATTGATGAAGTAAGTATTGAACAAATCGAATCGGTATTGAACAATCTAATTAAACTGCAATGTCTAGCATTTGTTGAATAAACTTAGAATTTTTAACTCCAATCGAAACTTCCTTGCTGTTGAAAAAGTATAGGTTTAAATAGTTAAATAATTTTGTTCTCCAGTTTTATTTTAAGGTATAATGGTTTGTCGTTTTAAGGTGGAAAACTTAGCGACAGCTCGAAGTACTTTGTTAAATCGAAATGAACCAACGGATGCAATTCGTGCTGTAAATGCTGTCCTTACACAAGTGGATCATATACGTCGACGTAATAACATATTCATTTTCAGTACTTCCAATATAACACAGGTAAGTCTTTTTTGTTTTCGAACTCCAGCAAAAACGATATCCATAGAGAAATTTTCCAAAATTTCCCGAATCTAACTGAACAATTATATTCATTGTGCCAAAAGACAGCTATTTATTACAATCTCTATTTGATGATACCAACAACTGTCATTGTGCAATGTTTTTTAGATTTTAATTTCCAGAGTTTGGATGAAGCCTTCATAGATAGAACAGATTTAAGTCGTTTCGTTGGTTATCCTTCAGCAAATGCAGTTTACACCATATTGTGTTCATGCATTCGAGAAATGCAGAGAGTAAGTTTCAACGTCGCAAACTTAGATATTATTTTGAAGCTCTCTTCCATGAAGATCTCCGACAAATTTAAATACTAGGAAAGGTGAAAATTATGTTGCGATAAATTGTTGCAGATTGGAATTGTGGAGCCAGGTCCATGGTTCTCTGAACATTATGCAACTGGTCCACATTATGAGAAGCTTACGCAATTGTCACGGTAAAAATTAGTTTGTAATAATATTATTATTAATCTTGGCCTATACGGTTTCCATTGTAAAACAAATATATATTATTGTGGTATTATTAGGCCTGTATTGTAACACGTAGCGTAACACGTATCGCGTGGTAAATTAGTGAGAACTATAGAAATAACTTTATGGAACAAGCAGTCATTTTTTGCAGAAGAGCTTCTGGTTTAAGTGGACGTTGTTTACGGCAGCTCCCTATCATCGGATATTCCAAATTGCCGGTGGTAAGTCTAAAATTTTTTGTATAAATGGACAGTCCTGTCGGAAAGTTATAGTTCTTAAAAATTTTTCTCTTGCAATTATGAAATTTATTAACAGTTCTTTTTTTCAGGATCAGTTATCCATCGACCAATGTCTTGATGTACTAGAAAAAGCCTTGAAAGAGAAATTTTCTGAAAATGTGAGGTGTGTGAAACCGAATTGGGTGTATGGTGAGAAAACTGCAAGTGCTTTGACTGGTTATTGAACACATTGATGTTAACCGTAATCCTATAACGTTTATTCCATTATCGATTTTGAACTTTTTTCCTAGGGATATTCCTCAATCTATCCATTTTCCCAAGTGATATATTATTTAAATTAATCACACTATATGCAATCTGAAAACCACAATTACGCTTTCGAAAATATATTGTCATCTGTGTAAAGCTCTGTTAATTGTTGCAGGCTTTGCTGCTATAAAGGACTAACTCATTGTTTTAGCAAATGTTTCTTCATAGTACAATTATTATTGTTGTTGCAAATTATATCATTGCAAATTTAATATTTTAGCAAATCGTAATTTCTCCTGTTTCTAATAAAAAGATCGTTCTACAATTTTCCTCAATTTAATCGCACTATTATCATTAAAAGACGTTCGTTGGAGTGTTCCTTTCCAATGTGAGGAAGTTTCTTCGCGGAGTTTTCACGGAATCGCCAATGATGATGGAGTGAGTTGTAATGATGGCTCCATATTTGGTTTACTGCCATCTTTCTTTGCGCCACCTAAAACCTGCGAATTTTAATTTTTCCATCGTTAAATACGAAAAGTATCCCACATAGCCCACACGAACTGATCCCATCGCATAACACAGTTTCGTAACTTTTTCCCGAAATATTATTGAACTCATGGGATTCGTGTTTCCATAATAGGTTATATTTTTCGCATTAGAAGCCGGATGAGCATATTCCACGCGCAAAGCTTGGAGTAATGTACTTTGAAATAGTGTTCTGAATTTAGGATCGGCTTTTCCCATGGAGACATTTTGTCTGTTGAGGTGCTTGCTATATTTTCATTTGTCGTACAAAGAGAAAAACGGCCACTTGGTTCACAATGAAATTTGGTTGGCTATAGGGAATTCGAAAAAGATCAAAAATGCGTACGATAAAGATTTCGAATATTTCATAATTAGTAGTAATGACAATTAATGATATTAATAATAATTAATAACAATAATTAATAATAAGTAATAATAATTAATATTAATAATAATAATAATATAATAATAAATAATAATAAGTAATTGATAAATATGTCTCGCTCTCCGTCGGATGATTCCATTAATGTCATTTATGTTACAACAAGAACTTTTACAAAAACAAAATAAAGGAAAACTGTTCATTAGGAAAGTAAAGGAAAATTGCTTGCATTATACCTGA